TCTATGATATGTATATGTATTGTTATATTTATACAAATGTGAGCTGTAAAACGATTTTTATGCCTTCATTTTATTTTGTGCATGACAATAAAGAAATCCAATTCAATTCAATATTCAAATATTGCAGTGGGTGGATGATTTTTCATCTGTAGACATTATTAAATCTAAGAAGAGCATTTAGATGATTAACTTTCTTTCAGACTTTACAGTACAGAGATTCAAATCACAGGAAACTAGTAAATAAGGTCAACTAAACGTTGTATGTAGTTTATTTTAATGTTAACCAGATTGTGGCATAGAAGAAAGTGGATGACAAAAAGGTAATTATGCAATAAAAGGAGACACAGGTATTTGGATTTTGGATGAAGTAAGTTTATCTTATCTGGAGGAAGGAAGATGAGAATCCAGAAAAATTACTTATTTGTAAGTTTTTAGACAGCTTAGGGTTTACAACTACATGAAAAGAAATTTCATCGACATTTGTTTAAATGTTTATTTCTCTTTCTTCCTTTCTCTTTTTCCCACTGCCCAAATCACGAAGTTCGGGCAGCATAGCGCCCAAATTTATACATATTGATTGTTGTATATATATATATATATATATATATATAATTGATATTACAATATTGATGGTGTGGGATGTACGTGTAACGAGTAGTGAAGTGTGACGTCATCAAAATATATTTTTAGATCATTTTTTTTTCCATTTTTGTTTGTTCTTCTTCATTTTCCAAAAGAACAACAAAAAAAACCCTCTATAGCCGAATCCACCGCGGTGTAGGTCTTTGGATACTGGTTATACCATTAACCCTAAAAAGACCGGGCTATTTGAGGTCTTAGAACGGCGGCGGGGGGGGCATTATGCCCCCCCCCCCCCCCCTCCATAAGATCTCGGCCGTGAAGCGGCTGATCTCCGCGAAAATTTGCATGCTTGTCAAGTGAAGTGTATAAAATAATATGAAAATTTTAATTTTTTGAAAAATAATCACTCATTTGCATTTTGAAGGTAATTTATCCAAATAAGGTCATAAAAACCACATTTTTACCCATAAATCATATATTATTCATATTTAAGCATTCTTTTGCACTACATATATTCATTAGACCATTTTGAATAATAATACGACAAAAAAAATTTGGAGAGCCAGCTTATTCATTACGTTATCTCTTGTTTTGATAATTTCTTATGTATTTCAATGTTTTTTTTAACTTATGTATTTTATTATTGTTGTTGTTTTATTTCATTTCTAACTACATTTCAACTATTTTGACTCCCAAAACAACCACCTAAACTTTAAACAACACCCAATAACCCATGTTTTATCTGTTTTTATGAAGAAAAAAAATTTCCTTATATATTTTGTACACAAACCACGAAAATGAGCGATTTTCGGGCTGACATGCAAAAACAAAAGGTCACGTGACCTTGTAACCGTCGGTCCGATTTTCAAAACAATTATTTTAAAAGTTGTGCAAGACTCCAAAGAAAAAAGTCAGTGAGCGGCGTTATTAATGTTATTAACAACATGAAAGAATGTTAGTCAAGAAATACAGAAATGAAAAGTGAAGCTACCTTAATGCTGTTACCGTTCAGCCGTGAACCTCGGAGCTCTGGCGGCAGAAATCCACTCGACATGAATTGCGCTTTAAACTCGAAACACCCAATAGCGTAAAACGTTATAATTGACAAAAGACTTAGCTCCATTTCATTGGCATCAGCCATGCATGAAGTCTTTCGTCTATGTCTGATCGTCAACGAAACGGAGTTAAGTCTTTTTTTTTCAATTCAGTTTGTTGCTACGGCAGACAGCCAGTGAAAACGAATTCCTTTAATCAAATTATGGAAATGCAAACATCATTTTAAACAAAAAAAACTTTTTTATTCCTTGCTCATTTTTCCTGATTGAGGTGTCTTATTAATGGTTCAGAACTTTGTCCCGATTCGTACAAATGCACAATTCGGGAATAATCGATACTATTCTGGGTGCAATTACTTACTATATTCGAGCCCCTTAAGGAGAATAAGGTGTTTATCTAAAATAGCGAATTAAATTTCAAAGGTTACTAATTAAAACTCAAATGCAATAAAGAACACAAATGATTGTAACTATCAAAGAACATTACAGTAGACTTTCATTAATAAAAATAACATCCTAAATCAATTTTAACCAGTTTGTATCACCCAATGATAATGATTAGCTTAAACAAGGGATGCGAATCAAATTGTAATCATTATAGAGAAGAGGGTATGATACATTTGCCTGTAATACGCATTATAATTCCCTGAGTTTGAGGGTTTTTTTCAGCTGCCTAATGTTAATGTCAATAAGTGAGCAATTGTTTGTGGAAGAATATCACACACATATATACAGACTTTTAACAAACATTACTTCCTTTAGCGAAAAAAGGGTACAAAAGGGCAATACTGCTGTTCAATCATCCATGGCAGCCCAATTGTAAATATGGTTTCATCAGACAGGGTATAAGTGACCCTTTGAAATGAAATATAATTCAGATTTTAACTTTTGAATTAAAAGCTTACAAAGTTCGGTGCAAATTTTGTATACGCTCTGTATAGGGATGTCCTTGGGCGGTCCATGACACTTCTATTGCACGAGTTGTTCTGTAAATTAAGAGAGGTATTATTACACGCCAACTTCCTTTTATGTTAATGTTAACATGACGAAGGTTTCATGTCATCGACCTTTGTAAACTGTAAAATAACGGACGATGAGGGAACGAAATGTTCATTATGAGGTTATGCGCATATTAGTAGTACGACTGACATACATGATGACTAACATATAAATACAAATAGGGGGGGGCAAAATAATGACACATAGATTTATTTTTATTTGATTGATTGATTTCTATATCATATTTTAAACATACATAACGCCATCAGTGTGATATCATTTACGTTTAAAAGTACAATACATGATACCCATATTGTAGAGAACGAAGACAATACATAGGAGAACATTTATCATTCTTACAATTAACATGATATAGGAGGGATACAGTGAAAGCATGAAACTTGAAATGCTTGCAGCCCTAGATTAGACTAACATGAATATTGCACAAGACATAAAAACAGGTCGAAAATTGCGTCTTCCTTTATTTAAAACAGACCAAGGAAAGTTTTCTGTTTCGTTTTTTTGGAAGTAATCTTTGGAATAAGCTTCCGACAGATCTAAGAATAAAAAACTCACAAAATTACTCTTCGGTGAAAACCACGAATTATAACCTTGTAATTGCATAGTTTTATATAGCAACTAGTGTCGTGTTTTTTTGTTATTGTAATATTATACACCAATCTTATTTATAGGATTTGGAAACCCATCATGTATTTGTCAATAAACTTTATGTTAGACTTTAGATAATGAGAGTCAGGCTCGACTAGCACATGTGATTTTTCACATACATAAAATGAAGATAAAAGCACAAATTACTGTTATTGGGTCTGGAACATAGTATTTACAGCTATTTTGAAAGAGTATGTCGACTTCAAATTTCGAATCACAGTAAGGAGTGAATTACTAATATTCGGACCAGCGTCGAATGGTTTTAAAGGATAACACGAATTTTAGATTTCTCAGATGGAATTTGTCAGCTAGTATTGTGGAAAAAGAGTATGCATGTTTATTCACATCAAATACTGGGGAAATAGGAGGGAATTTTCCCGTTTTGTAAGCGAAACATAAATATCATCAACTTTTAGAGCTTTCAGTTAAAAAAAACAGTGGATTTGAATGTTTACGATCAGAAGAATTAGTACAGAGAAGTACTTCTTTCTTTATAAATAAAATTTTAAAAACAGTATCGATATTACTCTTTGAACTTGCCCAGAGCCTATTACAATACGAGATAAATGGCTCAATTAGAAAATTATATAGCAGAAATAAAATGTTCGGTGGGACATAATGTTTGTAATTTACATAGTATACTAATTTGGCGTGAGATGATATCGGATATATATTTAACATAGTGATTGCACTTCATATTTTCATTTATTGATATACCAAGGAATTTCGAATACTCCCTCCTTTCTACCAATTCATCATCCAAAGATATTTCGACATTTGTATGTGTATTGTTGTTCTTCATTTTGAAGTATATGAAATTAGTTTTCTTGAGATTGAGGGAAAGTTTGTTGTCTTTAAACCAATTTGATAATTTCGGCAGCTCGGCATTGACAATTTTAAAAGTGTCTGAAGATCTGACTCAGAAGAGAATAGATTCTTGCCATCAGCGAATAATATATCTATTAGGAATAAATCGTCAAAATCGTTCCATAGATTGGGGTAAACAATAATTATTCCACCTTTATAACCAACAGTGTATATCCTACAAAGTTGTGTGTATGCGTGAGTATGCCCCTGTATGTTGCCCATAAAGAAGGAATATACTTTCTTACCTTGTGCATCAAATTTGACAATATGCTTTATTCTTGATAGTTTGTTTCTTTTTCATAGCAGTTTATATCCTGTCAGAACTTTAAGATTGAACAATGAAGTTTTGAGAAGATACAAAATAAATTATATTTTCACAATCACTTAATACAATTGTTTTAAATGGGGCAAAAGTGTAGGCCACACCATTAATTTGCCTATGATATGAGGCTGTTAATATTACTACACCAAATTTCCGAACACCAACACCCTTGTATTTGGTTAAAAATTTGTTTGTTGATGTTTTAAGCTCATTTCAAAAGTGGAATATTAATATTATTATGATTTGTTTAATAAATATGAAATTGAGCGACATCATAACACAGTAACCGTCCTCCAATGACAATTGTATTACCGGGTAAATAATTCCAGAGAGGAGACAACCTAAGGAATATAGAAGTGTTAAGGGTGATCCCCAGGAAGAGTCTTATGTCCTTATGCAGTGCATTTTATCTCGATCGCTTCTCTCAACCTAGGCAATAAATTTTGACCTGATATGTGACTGTTAATATATATTCTGGATTTTCGACAGATAGGTGTATGATCATGATGGTGATGAAGACGAACGCACTGGTTGTCTTTCTGTTTTTCGTGTACTCTGCCCAGAGCCGTAAGTTTGCCCATTTATTTCTTTTTATATTTGTTTGTATTAGCATTGTTGTCATTATTAGTTCAGTATTGTAGTAGAAGAGGAAAAAGAAGTAATACTAATACTAGAACTGTGTGCATTATTAGTGTGATTATTGTTGATATTGTTGTTGTTATCATTAGTATAAATAATATCACTTTCATCATCATCACTATCGTTATTATTTTGATTATTAATGTTATTGATATTATAATTATCATTATTTTTATCAATATAATTATTGTTATTATTATCATTAACATCAGCATTATTATATTTCTTTTTATTATTATAATTATCATTATAATGTCGTTATAAACATATTCTTATTATTATCATTATAAAGCATCATTACTATTTTTATTTTCAATGCAAGCATTATTTTCATCGTAGATGTAATCAAGACCGGAAATTTGTTATTTTGCATAATCAATGTGTTGCACAGTCCTTTCCTCCATTCATGCCTATGGTTTTGTGAAAATATGCACGTGTGGCAAACGGGAGGTCGTGCAAGAAGGTGAAGAAAGCAAGTAGAGTGTCGGGTAAAATAATTTTGTTGGCATAGGTACTCCCTGATGGAGAGATTATTTGAATTGAATTTGTTTATTAAAAACAACATGACATGCAGCTTAAGGCTGATATTTTCTGTTCAACGAAGTAATCTATTATTTTTGTAATTATGATTAAAAAAGTAATATTAAAATAATAATTAACACCAAACAAGAAATCCATTATTTATTTTAGATTTCTATGTGTGTGTCACATAAATTTACAAATGACGCGATTATAAAAACCTTCGAGAATCAAGGCTAGTGCAACTTCAATATCCTAATGTACATCAAATATTTATTATGTTTGGCCGAGGGGATACGTAATTGCGGAAAAAAGTTACGTAACTGCTACTTGACAGATGTACAACAGCTGGGATGTGAACTGTACAATTCCAAGATTTCTACAGAATTAACTGCGAATAACATCATCTTCAATCGGAATAGAAGGAAGGATTAACTTATTTATTAGTATGTATCATGGCTACCGGATTTACACTATAAACGTGGAGTTTGTGCGTGTGTTTGTGTGTGTTAGCGCTTATGTAAGTTTTACATGTTATTGTTTGTTTATTGTCAAAGTTTTCGAAATCAATACAAACAACAAAGTAATTGTTTGTGTTTTCCAAGGGTCCGTGTATGAGCCAGTTATTTTTCTGTGCGACTCGGGAGGGAATTCCATTTTCGAGAGCACCGCTGACGAGCTCGAGTTCCATTCGCTTCCACTGCCCAACTTACGGCAACCGGTGGCCGTCGGATACGACTTCGACGATGATGTCGTATTTTGGGTCAATGCTGAAGACGGGTCTCTAAATCGCGCTAAACGCAATGGATCGGGTTATGAGACATTGGATGCCGGTCATGGTGAGTATTTTCTTTTTTCAATTCGGCGGAGGTGTCAGGGTATAGTGGTTCGTTCACTTGATTCTCAATCCTAGGGTCAAGGGTTCAAACCTCAGCTTGGCGTCCTTTGGCAAGACATTTGTACACATTTGCCACTCTCCACCTAAAAGTTAATGGGAACATTGCAACTGACGGGGTAATGATAATTGCAGGGCCTTCAGGAAGAACCGCACCTACGCTGATAAACTAAACTATCATTATTATTGTTATTATTATAATTGATATTGATAATATTATTATTATTATTATTATTATTATTGGTGTTATTTTACTATTATTATTATTATTATTTTTATTATTATCATTTTGAATGACTATAATTATTGTATTGTTATTATTATGATCATGGCCGGATCTTAAATAGTCTAATAAGGAAAAGGCGGGAGAAAAACCTTTGACGAGCCACCCTTTCCAAACCAAGTTATCCAATATTACCCCTATAGTCGTTGACGGCTTTCCGACAAGCCGAGTGTGGTGTTGGGTGATTTTATTACCATTATATATTGTTTTTCTCTTTTTTGTTTGCCTCCCAACGGAGGGGGAGGGGGGTGGTCACCCCTTAGTTCCCATGGATCCACAAAATATGAATGAATTGAGGTTGTAAATACCTGAACCCATTTCGATCCTGTGTGGTTTAACATGAAAAATATTTAACAATATTTAGTAAATTAACTTCGACTAAAAAGTCCAATCCTTATCGCTCGCGATAGTTTAAAAGAATAAACCAACTTTTAGGAATATTCAAGAATCCCCAGACGAATTAATAACTTTGGTCTTATACTTAATTCTTAATCACCATTGCAATCGACTATGGAATAACACTATTCCAGGCATTAGTAGATTGTTTTACAAATGGAATTAATTTCGGACTTGGGTTGTTTGAAGTATTCCTAGTAACATTTTCTGCCAGACATTCTGATGATGATGATGATGGTGGTGGTGGTGGTGGCGGTAGTGATGGGGATTGTATTAATACCTACTACACTCAGGCGCGTACACAGGGGGGGGGGGGTGGGGGGTTAACCCCCCCCCCCTTTGGTATTGTTTTGTGTGTAAACCCCCCTAACCCCCCCCCCCCTAACCCCCCCCCTTTGGATTTTTTTTTTATTCCCATGACTGACCTAAAATAGCTGACCCTACCCCCCCCCCCCCCCCAACGGAGCAAAATGTCAAATTTTCAAATTTCGAGACAAAAAAAAAAAAAAAAAAAAAAATGTCCTCTTACCCCCGATTTATTCAGCGGTCGGCTGAGTCGTTGCGATTTTTTGGGGGAGCAAAAAAAAAGTGTCCTCTTAACCCCCTCCCCCCCCCCCTCCCCGCTCATTCAGCGGTTGGCTGAGTCGTTGCGAAATTTTCGGCCGATTTATAAATGTTAACCCCCCCCCCCCGCCCCCTTGAAAAAATCCTGCGTACGCGCCTGACTACACTAATACTATTACTAATACTAATACCACTACTTTTACTTCAGCTTCTACTTCTACTATCACTAATTATGCTACTCCTAATAATAACAATAATAGCTCAAGGAATTTCTTTTATCCGGGTACCCATTCACCTTCTTACCTGGCTTGAGAAGTACAAATGTAGCCTGCGAAATGACAATAATTGTGACAGGTATTCGAACCATCTGGTTGACACTCAACCATAACATCCTTGCAAGTGGCGTACTAAGCTCAATCGGGTCCTCTCGTCGGGTCGGGTTGCCGGGTTACAAAAATTATCGTGAATAATCGAGCACTATTTTCCCTCACATGTAGGGTCAGGTGTAACTTTCGTGAAATATATCCTATTTATCATCAACGTGTTGGATCTAGTTTACCCGAAACTTTCTGAAAAACCTACAGGAAACCTAAGAAAAATATCATTTTGGTCCGACACTTTTTATTTATCTTTTATATAGTTTGTTTACGAGATAAATAATCACAAGAGTTCATTAATACCCTAGCGATCGAATTCATAGTAAAAGGGTTAGCCTTGTCTCAATAGATTTTTCACCCCAAAAAAGAAATGTGATTAATATCACTCAGTTCATCCGACCTTTCGTGAAAATGGGGGCACGTTTTCAAAAAAGTCCATGTAACCAAACGAAGTGACGCGTCGACCTTTTGTAAATAAAGGTGTATGTTTTCTGCGAAATTTCGAGTAAACGGACAACTCGACCCGACGCCTAGACTAGAGCCCATGGTCAGGAATGACGTAAGTCATCGTGAGTTAGGAAGACAAATATTTGCCATTCTTACCTATATTTCTTTCAACATAGATGTTATTGATCTGACAATTCACGTTCCAACGAAAAAGATCGCCTGGATCAATGTGCATAGAAATCTATCAGGGTTGCTTGACTACTCGTCTGGTCTTCAAGGCAACACTTTTGCCGGTAACAACTTTTCTACAGTAGCGGCTCATCCAAATGGGTAATTTAAAAAAAGTCATGTTCAGATTATGTGAGATCTACTATAATTACGTTTTATGTATTTACCACAACTCTTCATCAACCTACGATCAAAATAACTTTGCGATGGTCCAAAAATTTGTCTTGAAAGAAAGGAGAAGAAGAAATAGAGGGAAAGAAGAAGGAGAAGAAGAAGACGGCGACGAAGGAGAATATAAAGAAAACAAACAATTAATTGAACAACAACATATCGAAAATAAACAAGTTATATCTAATCAAATACATTAACTGACTTCATCTTTTTTCATTGTAAATATTTTTTAGTTTATGTATGACACCAAAGTCAGGATGATCAAGCTTGCGATCATCGACCTACTAAACAAAAAAACAAAAAATTTAAAGATCAAAATTGGATGCGCAAGAGAGTAACATATCCGGATCAACAAAATAGTAATTCATGACCGTCCCTAGACCTCGATTTACATAATTACACACCAGTTATTGTTGATTTTTATCAAAATGTTCGAATACGAATTCATTTATCTACACAGGAACTTCTATGTGATCGACAACACACCATCAAGTGCAGATATCCACACTCTGTACAACAGTTTTTACCCCATGGCGACAAACGTAATGACTGGGCTTACGTCTGCAAGGAGTCTAGCACTCGACAGGGAAGGTAAGGATGTGCTGTACAGTGTGTCCCAGAAAGAAAAAAAATAACCGAATTTCATGACAGAAGTTGTGTATCACATGAAGAAGAGAAGTAGAGCTCTCCATATTGTATGTCTCATTAAAGAATTATTCATTATGATAGAAATTTCTGCCATAAGATCCGGGTTTTTTATTTTTTATTTAGAAGCCCCCTCCCCCGGGCTATGTAGTTTCAAAATAGCCCAGGCTATATAGGGTTAACCCTCTAGAGTTACCATTCGTTTTTAAAATCCAAGAATGTTATGTTTAATGGTTATTTTTAGTTCGATAAACACCATTGTGCAGCATAAAAAGAGGTACGTATGCATGGAGTCTCTCCGATTATTGCCTTCGTATCAACATACATCTATTCGAGTGAGTTCATATCCTGTCATTTGGCTTAGACTAATAACATGATTAACGAAAGTTTATTTTGTTTTTTTGGGGGGAGGGGGTGTTTTAATTTTCTTTTTGCAGGAGTTCGATCACATTTAGTGCGTATCCGAGATGAGAGATTGTATTATTTTTACTTGTCTGAAATTTAGGAGACTTGTGCCTCCACAAAATCAGATACTTTATTTGAGTTAGTCTCGATAAACCTCAGTACTTGATTGTCTTAACATTATTTTTTTCTTTCTCCTTTTGTTTCCATTCTTTTTTTTTCTAATTTAAAAACGTAACATCCAGGAACGCGCCTTTTTATCTTTGATGACCAAAAGGGAACGATCGAGTCTTTTGGTCCACTTGGAGGGGACCAGGTGACTCTTATCAGAACGGAACGCACGTCACCAGTTGATATCGCCTGGTACAGGGGAATGCCCCTGTGGACAGATTCCGCTACAAGAGGCGTTACCCTTCTCCACGGTCACAGGGGTGTTTCGCCTGCTTCAGCCAACATTCTTCATTTTGAAAACCCCACAGGAATTCATGTTTATCATGGTAATATAGATGATAATTCTGAGCCAGTCTCCCCTTTTCCAAATCTGCCCCTTCATAAGGTTTATAAAGGATTGGGGGAGGCTTGATGAGTGAACACAATTCACTCTTGCTATAGGAGTTGGTAAGATTAAACCTCCTATATCTACATTTGCTCCTACAGTTGAGCACTGTCAGAAATTGCAGTTTTACTAAACTTGCTTATATATAGATATACATATCACAACATTAAAGCTTTCTTAGTTAAGGTAAAAATTAAGATTTGGTTACTAAAATTACTCTCCCACAACAGAATATTGACAAGCCCATTTCCCCTCTAGTATGTAGGGAAAGATGTTTTGGAAGTTGGGTTTCAGTTATTTGGTGTTATTTACTCTATTTCTTAGGCCAATCTCACTCAAAGAGACCCGAAGAGAGGTGTCTTGCAGACGAAGTTACATGCGGAGATATTTGCATCCCTTCAGCATGGCAATGTGACGGCCTCGTTGACTGCCTCGATCAGTCGGATGAAACGAACTGCGATCCAGTCGAAGAATCCGGTATGTTTGAAGGAAACTTTGGGTGTAATAACATTTATTTGAAATTAAAAGTTAAAAATTAACATTTTTATTTGGTTATTTAAATGTCATTCCGTAACGCTTTGAACTGACCTTTCATGCGTAACCTTTTCCATTTCTTGGCAGATTCTCTGATGTTTCTGACAGACCTAAGTGGAGGGGCAATTTATGTTGCACACACGAACAATCTGAATTTCAGGCAGCTCCCGTTTCTCTCTGTGCAAAAGCCAGTAGCAGTGGGGTATGACGTCATAGCAAAGGAAGTGTATTGGACAGACGTGGAAAGAAAGACGTTAAGTGCTTCTCAAATCGATGGGTCCAATCAAAGAATAGTCGTTCAAGGGCTTGGAGGTTTGTGTTTCTAACGTTTAAGCAATTCATCGGTTATAGAGGGTAATACAAGGTTTTGGTATGGGGTCATGAATTTAGTTCAAATGAACATATTAGAAGCATATGCGATTTTGATCGTTGTCGCAGTTGAAATCGAGTCTAAAGTGATGAAATTGTAAATAATAAACTCTTTATGTTGTTGAGCGTCCTCCTAAGACCGATATTTAATACTTAAGCTTCAAAACAATGTTTGTTTTTTACTACAATCGACCGATTCACTATTCTCGTTTGGAAATTATAAATCAGAACTCTGAGATTTCCATGGTCGCAGGCTCGCAGCTATCATGGAATGGCCTTAAGCGCTATTTGAAATATTTGAAATAACGCGAGAGCACCGGTAAATTTTGGATTATTCAATTTCTCGAAAGCCGAAGTGTTTTAGGGCTAAATGTTCTAGTACTTATAATACATCTACAGGAGCATCAAAACATATCGATATTTTAAAGAATTGCTATCACTCCAATTTTCAAAATCTCCCAAAAAAGTGCTTTACCTTTGAGGGGCTCAAGTACCCACTCCACCGCAAGTTTAGTAATTCACATGTACATATAAAATGTGTGCGTGTGTGTCTGTTCCTGCGGTGTGTTTATAAATACATTCTTCTACAAATGCTCCTACTTGAACAAAAACAAAAAATAAATAATCATGGTAGATATTGGATTGTTTTTCCTCATTTGTTTTTCTTCATTTTTTTTTTTTTTTTTTTTTTTTTTTTTTTTGGGGGGGGGGGTGTTGACTGGTAAAACAATTTCATCAGGTCATCAAATACAGTATTATCAAATTCGCAGTGCCCTCTATTCAAAATTTAAAAAGCTCCTTCCAATTTAACGCAGTTCCTGACGGTCTTTTTGTGGATAGCGACAACGAAACTATTTTCTGGACAGATACGGCCTTCAAAACCATTGAATCCATCCAGTTTGACGGATCGAACAAGCGAGTACTGATAAACGATGTAGATATGCCGAGGGCAATTATAATTGTTCCAGAAAACAGGTTTGGCATCGTCTAATATTTTTCGCTTTTCCATGTTGGAAAGTATTTGATCAATATTACTTAATTAAGAAAAGATATGCAAAAGAGAAGAATGAATGTCTTGGAGGAAAAGAGAGCCGGGGGGGGCAGTGGCAAAATAAGAGAAGCGGAAGCCTCTTTTGCTGTTATATACCGTCCTTTAATTTCATGGATCATTTTCTAAAAATAAGAAAGTTTTGATTTAAAAAAAGATTGAAATCTCTGTTCATATGGGGAAATTAAAATGGTCAGTAATATCCAGGCGACGTAATTATTTTTTTTTTCCATTTGTTCCATTACACAAAAAGTGGCACAAATTTCAATTTTTAAAAATGAATTACTTAGGAGGGTCTTTTCTCTTTAGAGGACCTGTATAATAATAGTATTTTGTACATAGCAAACGAGAGGCTTTGACCGTGGCCGAATTGCCAAATTGAGATACGCATAGAATTAGGCCTAAAATAAAAACTTGCTGTATTGCCCTTTGGGTGCCAAAAACATGGGTCGGTCGGTCGGAAAAGTTTTTTTTTTTTTTTTTTAACTTTTTTGTTGTTGCCCTCTTTGGGCCGATATTTTTCAGATTTGAACGTTTGTTTGTTTTTTGTTTTTTCCCCGCCCTCTTTTGGCTGATATTTCTCAGTTTTTAATGCTTTTATACATGTGTTTCAACGTCATCATTCCCGTGATATCTTTTCCACCTCATAATCATCCATGGTTTACACGAGCGAGAATTTTGGAATAATTTGATTGTATGCATTTTTATCCCATTTAAACAAACAAAATACATATTGTTTTATTCATTGATTAGAAAAAATCTAAAAAACGTTAAAAAAAAAATAAAAAATTAAATGCTGACCGTAGATTTTCAGATTTTGGGGTCGGTCGCAAAAGGCAATACAACAAGTTTTTATTTTAGGCCTTATTATAAGTATTCTAATATTTCAAAAAATTTAACTTTCTTATTAATCGGTCCAATTTATCTCAAGTCTTTCACATTGAGTTTCTTTGAGTTTATCAGCGTTCATACCATGAACTCATTACAAAGGCTGGATTAACTTTCAATACAGGAAGCTCTATTGGACGGACTGGGGGAGTACACCCAAGATAGAGATGTCTAATCGGGATGCTTCTGGTCGTCAGGTGATTCTGGATACAGACATCGGATGGCCAAACGGTATCACTTACGATATGCAAGGTATTCTAAAACTCGTTGGCACGGTTTAATTACTATAACTGATTGTCAGTGGTAGTACCCAAATCTTAAATAACTCTTAGCTGAACATATAACAAGAATTGCGAGCCCACAAATTAGAAAAATAGTATTTAATACTATTTTTCTAATATGTTTCAATTTTTGTCATTATTTATTAGTCCCGAAAACATACCTTCCAAATGACAAGCATATCAATGAAAATCCAAATTTTAAAATGTGTTTATATATATATATATATATATGTGTGTGTGTGTGTGTGTGTGTGTGTGTGTGCGTGTGTGTGTGTATCTGAACAGCAGGTTGACTATGGAAAGTTTTCTTATACCTTAATTTCCACATGCTGAACGATGAGGGCATTGTAATCACTTGGCGTTAACCACCGTTTTCAAAAGTCTGCCTTTACTCGGTTTGGAAATATTGTGTCTGACTGGTTTTCATGCTTGGCCCAAGGCTCCATGAAATCATTAATGAATCCTGAAATAAAGTCTCCACGTACAAGTTATATCATTCCTCCTTATATGGAATTACAAATAAAAAGGTTTGAGACGATTGTTTTTGTTTTTTAAAGGTATTATATAAATTTGTAATATCTTCTCAGAATTGTATTGATCAATTGATAGTGTCACAAAGTTTGATCAAATACATTTTTAAGAAGGTATGAAGAATATATCACAATGGCACATTCGTTTCAGGAAAAGAGATAGGGAAATATTATTCCGACTTCATAGGCAACAATGCATGTTCACTCTTTTCTTTGAATTAGGGAATCGGTTGATTTGGTGTGATGCTCGTCTCGACAAGATTGAATCATGTGACCTTGATGGTGGTGGGAGGAAGATTCTCCTTGATAGTACCCACGGTACCTTTCATCCGTTTGGTGTGATAGTGTACAAGAGTACGGTGATATGGAGCGATTGGGTGCTTAAGGGAGTAGGGATAGAGGAGCCTGACAATCAAACATGGCCTGGTCTGTACTCATCTGTCAGCATCATTGCTCAACCCTCCGGCATCCACGTCGTAGGTGAGAATATCATTCAATTAAGAAAGTTACAAAAATTGAATTTGGAAAATGAGAAGAAGGAGGAGAAGAAGATGAAGAATAAGAATGAGAAGAAAGAAGCCCCTTCTCCTTCTACATTTAATTGCCAGGCAAATTGTTAAAAGGTATATAAATGAAACGTTATAAATATGCAAAAGACAAATCATGCCTGGGCGCGTAGAAGGAAATTGGTTCCTGCATGCAAATATGTCGTGTTTTTTTTTACTCAAGACAAAACTCTGTCAATTATCTTTCAGTTGACTCATGTTCTGCTGAGCCTTGCACTTACGGAACATGCCATCCGTTAGATTTATCTGATTATGAATGCGATTGTGTGACTGGATTCACTGGTAAAGACTGCGACACAGGTAATTAAACATGTTAACAATATTTCCAACAAGTTAAAAGTCCGATTATTATCAAAGATGAAGCAGAAGCTATTATCAAATTGACAAATGAAAGTCAAGAAGAAGAAGGAGAGGAAGAAAAAAAAAACCTTCACTGTGTTATGTTGTAGGTATGAGGTAACAGAAAGTAGGGTTAAGATAGATCAATGCTATACTTAATTTTTTTTTTTTCGTTAAAAACCCGAATATGTATGTGTCAGATACCATTTAAACATTCTCCGCAGGTCATCTTTTTCTCAATTAGTAAATGAATTAATAATATATTACAATGAGCCTGATATATTTTAAATAATTAATAGCCACAATACGTTATTATATAACCTTTTACATGACTTACTAAGCATATAATAGAATAGTATTTTGAAATGTTCAATTGCCAGGCATGAAAATTGTTAAAATGTATATAAATGAAATGTTATGAGAAATACAAAAGACAAATCGTGCCTGGGCGTAGAACGAAACTGGTTCCTGCATGCAAATAAGTCGTATTTTGACCCAAAACAAAACTCTGGCATTCATTTTTCAGTTGACTCATGTTCTGGTGAGCCTTGTACTTACGGAACATGCCATCCGTTAGGTGTATCTGATTATGAATGCGATTGTATGACTGGATTCACTGGTAAAGACTGCGATACAGGTAATTAAACATGTTAACAATATTTCCATCTAGTTACAAGTACGATTATTATCAAACAGGAAGCAGAATCTATTATCAAAGACGAAGAAGATGAACAAATGAATAACAAGAAGAAGAAGAAGAAGGAAAAGAAAAAGGAAAAACCCTTCACCGTGTTATGTTGTAGGTATGAGGTAACAAACAGCAGGTTGACGATAGGCCGGAGCTGTACTTAATTTCATTTTTCGTTATAAACCCAAAATATGTATGTGTCAGATATCGTTTAAAAATTCTCTGCAGTACGTTTTTTTTAATTAGTAAATGAATGAATAATATACTCTTATGAGCCTGATATATGTTAAATAATTAATAGCCACAATACATTATTGTATTACCTTTTACATAAAATACTAAGCATATAATTACTTTGATATGTCAATTGCCAGGCGAATTATTCAAAGGTATATAAATGTAAGGATTTAAAAAATACAACAGACTAATTATGACTGGGCATAGAAACAAGCTGGTTCCTGCATGCAAATATGTCGTATTTTGACTCAAGACAAAACTCTGGCATTTATCTTTCAGTTGACTCATGTTCTGCTGAGCCTTGCACTTACGGAACATGCCATCCGTTAGGTGTATCTGATTATGAATGCGATTGTATGACTGGATTCATTGGTAAAGACTGTGACACAGGTAATTAAACATGTTAACAATATTTCCATCAAGTTACAAGTACGACTCTTATCAATGGCTAAGAAGATGAAGAGGAAGAGGAAAAAATGAATAAGAAGAACAAGAACAAGAAAAGAAGAAGAAAAACCCTTTTTACTGTGGTATGTTGTAGGTATCAGCCAGTAGGGTGACGATAGGCCAAAGCTATAATTAATTTCACTTAATGTGTGTGTCAGATATCGTTTAAACATTCTACGCAGGACATTTTTTCAATCGTTAACAAACTTAATACGTATCCTGTAATTCAATTTAAAAATAGGTGGGTGAATGAATGAATAATATATTATAAAGAGCCTGATATACGTTACATGATTGAGGGCAACAATTCATTATTGTATTACCTTTCACATGTAAGCATATAATTACTTTAATATGTCAATTGCTAGGCGAATTATTCAAAGGTATATATATTTATGTAAGGATTTAAAAAATACAATAGACTAATTATGACTGGGCATAGAAACAAACTGGTTCATGCATGCAATTTGAGGACTTCTGACTCAAATAGGAACTCTGGCAATTATCTTTCAGTTGACTCATGTTATGCTGAGCCTTGCACTTTCGGAACATGTCATCCGTTAAGTGTATTTGATTATGAGTGCGATTGTGTGACTGGATTCACAGGCAAAGACTGCGACACAGGTAATTAAACATGTTAACAATCTTCCCAACAAGTTACAAGTACGACTATAATCAAAGATGAAGCATAAGAAGAAGATGATGAAGAAGATAATAAGAAAAGAAGACGAAGAAGAAGAAAATCTAATTCACTGCTTTTTGTCGATACACAGTCAGTGTATAAAGTAGGGTAAAGACTGTTCGTCCTTAAAATTATACTCTTTCTTACAGTCAATTGCAATAAAATAAACATACACATATGGTGGTTCTAGGTCCATGCTACCTAATATCGAAACACCAGCGAAATTTTACTACAACCGAATGTTCCAGTATTCCACCCAAAATCGTGGGAGGTTACATTAAATTCAAACTTCAATACGTCCTACACAGCTATCACATGCGCCTTACCGATTGAATCTGAAGAGAGTCACATCAAAGATCCCAAAGATCTCTACACTCCTGGTGAGCAAATCATCATCACATGCATTAACGATGGGAATGCAAGCACGACTTGGATATGTAATGCTTCTTCGGGGTCATGGGATGCTACAGAGGATCTGAAGTGCCCAGGTGAGTATGTTGTAGTTTGGTATGTTATGCTATGGTCACATTACCCAAAAGTAGGCTGCTCGGCGGCCGAGCGGCGAGTTTTTAACCAATTCTGCCCGGCGGCTGCCCGGCCACCGAGCGGCGGCCGCCCAGGCACCGCTCGTTTTTAGGGCATCGCTCGGTCGCCGCTGAAGTTTTAGCGCGGAGTTAAAATTTGGGCGGCGCCTGCTCATTTTTCACTCGCCGCCCAAAATACGCTCGGTGCCTGGGCGGTCGCCGCCCGAGCACCGACCTAATTGCTGGGCGATGCTTAATTCCAGCAGCGACCGAGCAGGCTACTGATCGGTCGGTCGCTGCTCTGATTTGTGACCATAGCTTAAGATATTTGAAAGCTTAAACGTGCAACGAGAAGACGACCTCTTTATTGAACTCGCTAAAGCACCTTGTAATAATAATATTAAAAATAATAATAATAATAATCTGTTAAAGTCCACTCCAAATTTGATTAAGTTAAACCGAAAATGGAAATTCCTTTTGCCCATTTGATCGTGAGCCCAGCAGCCACTGAGCAGCGCCAGATCGACGTTGCTCTATCACTTATTGTTGAACGCCAAACAAGGTAGCAGCAATTCCCGTCTTTTAACGTCTTTTGGTATGACGCGGCCGGGGTTCGAACCCAAGACCTCGCGGTTGTGAGGCGGACGCTCTACTGACTGAGCCCATACACCGGTCTTTCACGACGGGAAGGTGAGAAGATGACTGTTTATTACTCTTTAAGTCGCCTTCTCGTCATCTTTACATTAAAAAAGGCGCCTTGGATCGAAGTAAAACTCATCTTCTCGCCTTTTTTTCAAATGTTTTTTTTAAATTAAATATAAAGGCGAGTTTTAACAAATCGCCTTCTCGCCGTATTTACTTCAAATAAAGAAGGCGAGCAGTTGGCGAGTTTTACTTTTTAGCAAGTCGCCTTTTCGTCTTAAATTGGCGCTTTGGCGAGTTAAACAAGACTAGTCGTATTTTTGCTGCACGATTAAGCTTTCGTAAAGGGGAGTCTACCTCCATCCAATGATATTCGTAACTTAGGAGACAGAATGATTTTATTCCCCGTGAAGATTCATTCCCTGGCAAAAGATTTTATCGACAGGATTTGAAAATTCGATCTGTAAAACACAAAAGAATCATATTGATCAGTGAAAGTGAGAAGAAAGAAAGAAGATAAAGAAGAAATAGAGCAGAAGAAGAAAAAGAAGAAGAAGTTAAATTTATGCCGATTATTGGGCTTCAAGTGTTACACTCGAATCAAACTAAATTTGTTACGAAATCGATTTTACTAATTGCTCTCTTGGACAAAATCTGTCCCAAGACTTATTTTAGAGGACATAAGTAAGGCGTAAGATATCATTGTAATCTTTACCTAATGGTGAATTTTCTTTGAGATATCACGTGACACAAATTATCAAATGGTTGAGATCTGGTAAAACTGACAGATCATTCATTCGCATTAATGTTCATTTTTTGCATGCAGCTTGGAAGTATCATTTAACCTGATAATGAATGGTCTTCAGTCGCTATCATATTCGAAATGTGACCAGAACTATCTCAAAAAGAATCTGGATAAACTATCAAGCCATATATCTGCAGTCCGGCCTCTTTACACATTTCCATGGTAACAAGATTTTTAGCGAAATTGAGTCAGAAATAATTTATTATTTTTCCATTTCTCATAACATATAAATTTGCTCTTTTTTCAAGAATCAGGAATGAACCATCTAGTTCGTACGATCGGTATCGCTTCCGGCGGGATCATTTTGGCTGTTCTGGTGCTCATCGCGTTCTGTGTTTTCGCGTAAGACAATTTCACAATCGTAGATATTTACCATCAATACTAAAATTCCGGATCACACGAAATAAAGCTTGGCCCCGATGCACAAAACTTACCATTGATGGTAACTACCATGGAAACCTTGATTTCGATTAGCTGTTGAGCCCAGTTACCATGGAAGTTGCCATTGATGGCAAAGTTACTATCAATGGTAAGTGTTATGCAACGGGGCTCAAGACTTTGCTGATTATTAAGATACTGATGATAATACCAATATTAATCATAATAAAGAATTAAGATGATGATAACAACAATAATAATGATTAGTAATCAAGACGTTCAAGACATCTAAAACGTTGAAGACATCAAAGATGTATCTAAGTACTTTACATATATATATATTATTGCCCCTGTTTCGGATCAGCACACAATGAATGCACAATCTCCATTCCTTAAGGGGGAGGCATTTTAGGCAGACTCCAGTGGCTCACAATGCTGTGTAAACCAAAATGACTTCTGCATCCTACCGGGTACATATTTGACGATAAAGTAACGCTGGAATTCGAACCAACGACCCTTGGATTGAGAGTCAAGTGGATAAACCTATATTCCATGACATTCCCGAATGATAACACTTTTTTCAAAGGGAACCTCTCGGATTTATAATAGAATTGTTATCTAAATCAATATACTATAGTTATTATCCTTTTTAATAACAACAACAACAAATGATATTAATACTCGTATTATAATCATTAGCATTACTGTAATATATTCATCGTTATAACGATATTATTACTAGCATATAAGAAAGAGAGCATTAATGCTTTAAATAAAGGAAATCGAACCCTGATAGCAAACTGATTTAAAGGTACTATGTCCCTTTTGCAGCCAACCTCAAATTCTGTAGAACTTTACAGGAATTATGAATATGTCATGTATGTCATATCTGTACAATTTAAACGTTAGCAGTGTCCTAATATTCAAATTATGCAAGGAAACCCATTTACTTGCTAGACTTCACTGTCAGACACTATTGAGTGGCTGTCTGGCTTTTTTCTTCTTTGGTAATAATATACATAAAATGAGCTGTAAAGGGTACATGAGCATTTGTCTAAATCAATAACCCACTTCTTTTGATGCCAAAATTAAACTGATTGAATCTTTGCGCGGCATAAAACGTATGACCAGTCGGTACAATGGTCTAAAAATCAAGACTATTACTTATTGGCTCTATAGCTCCTAAGTCGATTTGACAACTAATGGTCATTATTTTCCAACTTGAAGACATTTTCAAGCCCCACCATTTTTAGGGAAGTTCTAAATTAGTATTATCTTTTAAATGCCGTTGGAATTTAACCTTTTCATTTTGGGGGCCTCCAAATGGGACGTAGTACGAAAGCAGAAAAGAACTGGGATTCGCACAGATGTAGTAATTTTATATGAAGTAAATGGGTACCTGGTAGGAATTTATTCCTTGAAACGCAGCACGCGTAACACCTGCACTGCTAAAGCCAGGGTAATTATGCTGCATTATTGTAGAGCGCTTAGAGACTTCTGATAAAGTAAGTGTTAGGCGCTATATAAGCAAATATAATTATTATTATTATTATTATTATTATATAACTTTTGATCATTTAGCTGATTTATTTCAAGTTCATTTTTTCTCTTGTTTTCTGCTTCCATACAAATAAACTCATTTAAAAGGTTGGATTTCTATGTACATGTGTATGCTTTGATTATCCCCATGTTTAAGAAGGTAAAATCATTAACACATTCAACTTGGTTTATCATTTTGCAGATATATAAAGCGAAGGAAGCAACCTCAAGTCACTAATGGGATTACACCAGTGCAACAGGAACGTCGGCCCCTCCCACGTGCACCACAACACCTTATGTACATGGAAATGGACGAAGACCAGCATTTTTACTCCGGAATATCTAATCCAAATAACATTGGTCACATTTATGATACTAATCTAGTCCATGGCAAACCAGAAGCACAAGGTGACTCCCGTGAAGATCAACCCAGATATGAAACAACGCTAAGATCCATAAGTCAGTAAAAAAAATCTAATTTCCGGTCTTAGATCGCGTTTAAAGATAAAGATGAGTTCAGGTAGAAAAATTAATAAATGAATTATCACAGAACCAAACGAGACTTACACTGAAAGTTCAAGATTACAAATAAAAGTCATTTGCCAAACAATTTTGGTAGAAAATGTATACTGGCTGAGTAATGAGCATATCAAGATTAGGAAATCAAGGTTAGTAGCCCCGACACCATTTGTGCAGTCCCATATACATCTTTCTGTGTGCAGTGCTTGTTACTTTACCAAGACTGGGCCAAATGTATTATGTTTGTGATGACTCCAGAACTTTGCAGTGCACACCAATAAATGTTACATGATCCATTCCACACCTTTTCTTTTACAAACCAATCGGATGACCAGAATTCACCTTTATCTTTAAGGAAGGAAGTCAGACACAACCTCGGAAAATCGAGCACTTTTTTTACCTAGACATAAATCCTATTTTTGTCGCAGTCGACCCACTGCCGTCTGAAGGTGGGGTAAATGGTTAACTGGCAGGAATTGATCCTTAAAAGTCTAGAACGCAATCAAATTGGGAGCCATATTAAAGCCAGGGTAATAATTGGGGAGCGCCATGATTGTGAAGTCTGACAGGCCTACGAAAACCCACGCACTCCTAAATTACTTCCACTACGATTATTGTTATTATTATTATTATTAATAGTATTATTCTTATCAATATATTTATTATTATTATTATTATTAATAGTATTATTCTTATCAATATATTTATTATTATTATTATTATTAAATTTATCCCATGCCTTTTGTGCACAATGCGTTTCATTGAATTGTGCGGGCTCTATATTCATCGTGTATTAAGGGCCGTTTTTTGCGTAATTACCTGCGTTGGGTTTTCAAAATTTGTCTATGGTTGAAAAAAAATCTTAGACCAAGTACCAAATTCTTTTGTTAAATATGTTTTTTTTTACTAAAGCATGAATAAACCCAGCATTTTTTTTCATTTTAGTAATATGCTAGCCTTAGCGTGCACTCATCCAGTGCAAGTTTGATCCAATCCCAATTGATAATTAAAAGGAAAGAAATAAGGAGAAGAAAAATACATTAAATTAATTTAAAGACGACAACGTTGAAATATTGGATAAGGATTGTGTAAAAATGCGGGTTGTGGAGCAAACAAGTTTAGGAATACAAGCATGTTAGGTCATTTTTTATAAAAGACAAAAGGTTCTTTGGGTCTAGTGTTTTCAGAACATAGAGGGTTCGGGGTTGTTGTGGGGGGGCATAGCATTGGGAGACCAAGGCTCTGAAATATGTGTTTGGTAATTGAAAAAAATATATATCGAATTGTTAAAGTTCTTGTACATTATGGACAACATACGTAATTGTTCATTCGTTATGATCCAAGACAGGTTGTACATTTAGTTATTGTAAGTTGTTGTTATGTTTTATTTTTTCATTTTCATAATGATCATTGGCAAACCAAGATTTTAGGAATAGAGATATCTTGCATCATACTAGTGTTATATAGGATAGGGGTTTTGTAATATAGAGGTGTCACAACATAATAAAGGATCTAAGTTTTGTTCTCATTTTGTTTTGTATTGTTTTGTTTTGGTCATGTCGTGGTATTGAGGCATAGTATTATAAATAAATGTGTATTGGGTATTTAGGTGTTTTAGGACACAGTATTGAAACTAAAGGGTATTGTAATAAGAGGTAGTTAGTGTAGGAACATGTTATGTTTCTTCTTTTTGTTCATAAAGTACAGGGGCGTTGGGGCATGCTTTTAGAAAGTAAGGGTTCGAGAAGAAATTAGGAATATTAGAACGTTGTAGTTCCGGGCCATGGGATTGAAACATAGGGTTTTGTAATTTAGATTTTGTTTTCTTTAGAGTATGGAACATATGTGGATTTTGTTGTAATGTTTGTGTATGGGAACATGGTACTGTAACATAGTAGTGCGGGAATTAAGAAGTATTGCTACATAGTATTAGAAAATCGACCTTTTGTACAGGGGAAATGGGTCTCAGTATTGGAGCATTGGGGGTTTAGAGAAGTTTGACAAAATATTGTTGGAAAATTGTGATGTCGCAAGTGTTGTTTAAACATTTGAATATGTATGCATGCCGAGGCATTTATACACATAGAAATAAATCAGACCAATGATAAGGATATTGCAAAGGCATCTTTCCAGTAACAAATAACTAACCGAAGTATAATGTTTTGTAATTTCACCCTGGCCAATGGTCTCATTTATGATTCTTCAATTTTTTAGAACATCTTTAATTTCACTGGAGAGCAATCCCCTGCAATTAACAGAGGCATATCTCCGCCTTAGGTTCAGGGGGTGGGTATAAGAACCAAGGGCAAGTCTTTTATGAGCAAACAGAGAGTGGGGGGGGGCAAAGAGTGTGCCATAGCTATATCTTCTTTAAAATGTACACGATTCCGTTTTTTAAATATTTATTTGGTGACATAGGTTTATTTCCTGAGGCAACAAGCAAGTTAAAGCTCTAGCTTTAGTTGGCGATCTTCTACATTTGTTCACTATTTAAATGATTTAACTATGTGTTTTTTGAAAGGTGTTATGATTTAAATGATTTATATTTGTATATGATTATATATGGGTTCTTTTACGTTTGGTAATATATCTTATTTGTATATTTTTGGTATGCAGATACGTTATCAAACTAATAAAAATATTTAGCAAGCGAATTTAGCCAAGTTTGTAGTAAAGAGTGAAGAAGTCGTTAAAAACAAATGAATAAGGAAAAGTGTATGTGGAATATTGCGTTTTCTTAAATCTGACCGTTATTACATGGTTCCCATTGGTCAGGCATAATACCATGGCTAAAGTTTATTTCAAATGATAAGCATTTTTCTACAAAGAGCACTGCTATTGACAATAAGAATATTGCGTCACAAAAATTCGGCTAGAATAGCATGTACTCAACTAATTTTGGCAAATTTGGCATCATTTTTCTAATTAGACAATTCTAATCTTGATATTGTGCCTCTCATTAGCGAAGGTGTACTATTCCTTTTTTTAATGAGCCATCCTGTATAACTTGCTCCTCATACGTGAAACGGCGCTACACTAGGGACTTTTAGATTCGCACGAAGACAACGGGAATTGCTACGGTCGACGTCCCTTTAATACACTGCCTTGAATGGACGTCTCACGTATCAGTCCACGCAAATCTAAAAGTCCCTATTTATATGAACAACAGGGCGCTGTTTAATAAATGTTGTTATCAATAACACATTTCAATAAGTGTTTTAGCTACTGAAATCGTGGCATTGGATTAGGTGAAAGCAAATTTGTCATAAAAATTCATTACTTGATATTAACAATTCTATAGAAACAGGGACATGAGGCATCTTTACACAGTCGTTGGCCAATTTCTTTTCACTTGGTTAGAAGTACAACATGTTTTGTATACCTGCCCAACAAAGCAATATATTCGCTATACTGTACCCGGGTTGGCCGAACTCTCCGAATGAATGGCTCTGATGAACATAGCGTTTTATGAAAGATAATTGTGACACGCGCATTGAACGTGTTAAGGCTCGTTGAGATAATCAGAGGCGGATCTGGTTGGGGAGGGGGAAATTATCCACGCCCCCTTTTTGGCAGCCTTTAAGAGGAGGGATGAGAGCGATGGAAGAAGAAAAGGAAAAGGAAAGAGAAGAGAATGTGAAAGAGAAGAAAGAGGAAAACGAGAGAGAGATAAAGAGAGAAAAACGCTACCCTGCATGAGCCCCCCCCCCCCCCCCCCCCCCCCCCCCCCCCCATGAAGAAATTGGGATAGAAAAGAAATCATAGATAATCGTATTTTGGGGAAAAGAAATATTGAATTTCCTACCAATTTTCAAACTAATGCCATTGTGTGACTTAATTACTCTCTCTCTCTCTCTCTCTCTCTCTATATATATATATATATATATATATATTGTTTTTGTTGTTTTCACTAAATATAATTTTTGTATTCTCAAGTTCAAGTTTACTTTATTCAATACTTTCATTAAAAATATACAAGGAAAGCAAACATATAAAAGTTAGAATATAATACATGTATCAATATATAACATGAGGATTACACAAGTGGAGAAGACATGATGGACAAGGGAAAAAACATTTTAAACATGTACATTAATGAAAGTATTTGGAGACTAGACAGGAAGGCCGGGCCTTATGTAAAAGTCTGTCTCCAGTAATTGTATAAAAACTAAGTACATTATTTAAATTTTGTATTTGTTATAAAAAGGAAGAAAAAAAAGGGGGAAAAAATTGCATTCACACATACACTCTCTCCCATACACACCAACACACACTTTTCTGTCTGATGAACATTAAGAATATAGGTTATTGCACTATTGAGTATTGTCTTAACAGGTACAGTTTAAATTTTCTTTTAAAACTATTTAGTGATGGACTCTGTCGAATATCTATGGGTATGTCATTCCAAATTTTTGGACCCCTGAAAAAAATTGTATTTTGGGAAACTAGTGTCCTTACTCCTGGAATATGAAAATTATTTAAAATCCTGGTCTGGTGGCCATGAATATTCTTATTAAGTTGAAAATATTGTAAAATAGTATTTGGTAAAAGTTTTTTAAAGCATAGATACATAAAAATTGCACATTGATAAACATAAATATCGTTTACTTTTAAAAAATTTAGGTTGTAAAAAAGAGATAAAATATGAGCAAGGTATTGGCTGTGCGATATAATTCTTATAATTTTCTTTTGTAAAATTAAAAGCCTATTTGTATTTTGCATACTAGAGCATGCCCATACAAGAATACAATAATTTAAGTGGGGTAATATTAATGTATTATACAAAATTATCAATATTTCTGTAGGTAAAAATTTCAATTTATAAATTGAAGTCCATTCTCTGCTTTGAGTTTTCCTCATTGAAAAGTTAATGTTTTGTTATTGATTTAAAAAGTCTTTCCAACTAAACCTTGATTCGTGTAACGTGTAAAACTTCGCCTGATCCACCATCATTTCAAGAAAATGGCTGCACCCATGTCATGCTTCAGGCATCACATCATGCCAAGAATATCTACACTTATATATGAAGAGCTTGATTCCAAAAGGAGCTAAATCCATATAATTATGAAAAGGGAGTTATTTGTCTTAAAATAATGATTTCCTACATGGGGACAAAATGCACTATATCA